CCTTCGGTGCTACTTTCTCATACAAATCGACCTGATCATTCTGTGTTTGCATCGTTTGTTTTAAGGCTCCAAATAATCTCTTTCTCATACGTCTGTTGTCTTCTATAATCTGTTAATACGCCAATTCACTGACAAAGGATATTTTAAGAGTGCAGCCTATACATCCGACGTTTACTTTGTTAATATCTTAAACAAAACTCCTGATCCTTTTAAGCTTGAAGCAACTAGCAATCGCTCCAAGAAACTCGATGTTTTCATTGGTTTAAGGTCAACGAGCAGCCTCATTACCAGGTTGTTCGCATAAAAACAAAAGAATCTGCCAATAAAGGCAAAGTACAGTCCCTTGCAACTGTCTTCTTTTTTTACCTAAGCATCTACTACACGAGTTTCCCGTTTTTTGCAAAAATTTATCAAAAAATCTGTTTTAAAATGCTCATATGTAATTCTGCCAGTTTTTTGCAACTGGGCCAGTGGCTAGAATAGACATTTCTTAAGGTGCAATCTTGGTCAGTACGTGTCGTTGGGTTTGGAGCTGAAGGCTTTGGTTCTAGAGCCTGGGAGACCACAGCTTTTCTAAACTTTTAAAATCACCTACGTCAACAGCCAGTCAGGTGAACCCTCAATATTTATGTTTGCTGTCGTATGATTCAGCATTTTGAATTAAAAAAATGTGTCTAGGGAACTGTACTGACTTTGAAATTTATTGTATTATCGATGGTGAAATGACATTATATATGTAATAGTTCACTACATGGCTTCATCCGTAAATTGGTTTATTCGAAAAGAAGGTTATTGTTAAAGAGTGGTCCTATTTAGCATTGGAAAGTATACTAGCAAAGGGCGTATTTTCAATAAGGAGGTATGGGGCCTACTTGACCTAAAAAAGTTCTAAACTAGTAGTATTTCTCCCAGGGGGGGGGGGCACTCAGCACATAGACATACGGGGGGTCAGTCCGATATTTTTGGGTCAATTGCTTACCCAAAGTGATATTTTTGGGTTAAATACCTATCAGAAATGATATTTTTGGGTCCTGCAAAAGCAATAGATATAATTCTGATATTTCTAGGTATCAAATTTAGAAACACTGATATTTTTGGGTTTTTGTGAGATTTCTATATCTGAATAAAATGTGTTGTTCATCGGCTGAGATTTTTTTATCCATTGCAAGTCATGTGACCATACTCTTTGGGAGTTTCAATGCTACAGTCATGTGATACTATCTCTTCTGAAATTACAATTTGTGAGATTTTTGGGTATAAGATATAAGTAGAACTGATATTTTTGGGTCTTTTGAAAATGAGCTGATATTCTTGGGTGGCCTGTAAGATTCTTGGACTGACTCCCCCCGTATGTCTATGTGCTGAGTGCTCCCCCTGGGGTATTTCCCTTGCAAAGATGACAATCCTTTAATAGAAAAAATTCTGTCTCTTGTCTTTTTCTCAATTAAAATTAATTGGCAGGTTTTTGTCGTTGAATCAACTTTCTGGAACTCTATAAACTCTCATTGCTTGCTTCTAAAATAATCAATTCTGCTTCTTTATGCCATTAATGCTCTTTTAAAGCATATATCTATTCATGAAACACCTGTCGACAGAGAATATCGCAGTCTACATCTTATCTGTGAATAAGAAATCATCCATCTTTTTGCTCTAAATTGACAAAAAGCCCTAATTATTCGTAAATCTTACAGCAAATCTTTTGGATTTTAAAAAATCTACCAGTTGTCTACAATGGATTGTCAAAAAAAATCGTCAACACATTTCTGTTCTCCCCATATAACCGAGCGATGGTAGGGCATCTTCGTAAAATGACCTACATTTGTTTAAAAAGAAACGTTGGCTAACTTTTAACTAAAGTTATGAAAACTTAGATTGATTGTTATGAATAGATTGAATTGAATTGAAAGTTATGAATAGATTGTTTTTTTATCACCGTGTTTCCTCTTAAGAGGCCTATTCCCCCAGAGAAATTTACAGTAGCTCAGCCTCAGTTTGTTCTTATATTTTTTAAAATTTTGACCAATTTTGAGGCCTGTGTTCTTATAAAGTTGTTCTTATACAAAAAGAGTGTATTCAATTGGCCCAAAACCTATCGATAGTGCACCTAGTATGCTGTTATCTTTCTTGGTGACAATGTTGGTCGCAACGATGGATTCAAACAGGCTATGTGCTCGATAGCCACACTCCTTGTGGCCAATTAAGACACGACATTGCAAGCCTTCGAGAATCCTCTTTTATCGTAGTAATAACTTAAGAGAAATTTCTAGGACAATCAAATTATGTTTAGTGGTTTAATTTGGACAGTCGATGTCCATTTTACCTTGTTTACCGGCCTTTCAACCCGGTTCGGCCATGAATATTAGATTACTCTCTACGAAGCCTTCTTAGGCCATTACTGAGTTTTTTCCCGGAAAGATTTACTGTATGCGTTTTCCGACAAAGAGCTTTTTGTTTTCCTACTGTACTTCTGTTGTAGGACAATCTCGTTTCGATGTAAATTCCTAGGTTTTTTCTTACTGATACTCAAGGCCACACATGTAAACTCTCCCTTTTTGTTTTGTAAAATTTTACGTTTCAATTTCATACAAAACCATTACTTGCAAACACAAACGGATGAAAGTCTTAAGTGAAGTATTTCTAAATAAGGTAGCTTTAGTTTGATTCGTTGCCTCGAATAAGCTTCTAGCCTCGAAAAAGCCGCCATGAATCAATGAATCAATCTGTTCTATTAGCTTTTCGACGAGAGTTGATGCCATTAACCCCTTTATATCAGCTTTTTTAAGGATTTCTTCCATCAAGATCAAGAACTTCTGCCCTGGTAATACTTTTGGCTGCTGCTAAATGAGCCCAAAACTTTGAATACATTGCGAAGTAAGCCTCTGGGGCTTATTGGAGGACTTGCAGATTGCCTTCTTGGGAAAAATTCCAAAAGTAACAATTCCCGTGGAAACTTATCTTCCTTTTTTCATTGCAAAACAGAATAAGTAATGAAAGAAATGAACATATTCGTCATTCCTTGCATATTCTATTGAATAAAACTTTTGGCTGGCAAGAATGCGATTTTAAAATAGCATATATACGTATAACTCTGTTGTTGTTATTCGTGGTCAACTGAATTCAGCTATCCACAGTAATTACATTTTTAATCTCACATAATCAAAATATAATATAGTATATGAAGATACCCTTATTACCTAATTAACAATCTATGCAATCATGCAAAGAAATATTTGAAAAATACTGACTTTTCCTGGACTATTAAAGATCCTATCCAATCTTATAAAGATTATATATTATCTGTCATTAAAATCTTGCCACATCTTAATCCTTCCTTCATGAAACTGCAAATAATAATCAGTAGGACTAATATTTTCACTTCGTCAACGACCAACTTCCCAACTTGTTTTTAAGTGATGAGCTTAATAATTTATTTGTAAATTAGAAGCAGAATTTTCCTGGTATTTAGATGTTTGTCTGTTAAACTATTAGGCTATTTCGACTTTTTCCTATCTATTTCGTCGGTCTTATTATCCTATCAATACTGTTCTCACTCTCTCTTTTGCTTTCATTTTCGATCTTCGCTTGCTTTGCTACTTCTAATTTATTTTGTTTTGTTGTTTCAAGTCTGTCTCTATGCTCACGTTTCACCTGATGTTGCACCCCTTTTACCCAAGGTCCCATATCGCCTACCCCTGAATGCAAGCTTCTTGTACCCTCTGGCTCTCTCTCCTTACATTTTTGCTTAATGATCTTTTTGGTTTGGGCATCTATTGCTCTCTATTTATCCTCGCTTGCCCTTTTCCCCCAACAAATGTTAGACCTTTCACTATTCTTTCGGATCTAAACATTTGCATTGTTGCTAGACAGCATCTGAAGGTTGAAGATGTCACGTCTTTCGTAAGCAGCAATGTAAATGACCCGAACTATCCATCTTGTATCAGACAGATTGACTGAAAATCTATTCCATTTATGTTTGAAACAGAAATCTGAGTATGCTCCATAACACATAGTTATAATTGTAAAATAATAGTCTGTGGTTTGGATGGAAAACCTGTGCTTATATTTATATCGCTTTGACAAAAGTTATGAAAACTTTTCTCAGAGTTGTTACAGAGTCAGACCAGGGAGTTTTTTGTAATGGTAAAAATAAGGCAAAGATATATATGGTTTCACCATTGATCATGGGTTCTAGACAGTATGAGAGTGTTAAACAAAAATAAATGACGTTAGCATATGTTAGAGGCCAACTAATGATCGTCGGCTAGGGGTGCAACCTGAAAAGAGGCTTCTTGACCGAAGGGGGCCGCAACTCAAACCTTAATGAACCTGATGAGCAAATGAAAACATCTGGAAAATTTTTTAATCCAAAATCACCTGCCCAAGATTTCCTCACAATTAAGATTCATCAAAATTTAGATTTCACATACCTTTTTTTTGTTCAGAAGATTCTATCATTGATTAAGGTCTCTTTCAAGGACTTGGACTCAGAAATTGCTACTGCTGAAGCAAAATCAGTTTTATGAGACACCTTGGCTTAAAGATGCTATCTTAGCTGAAAATCGCAGTTTTCTTAAATCTAGTGTAAACAGTCTTTGCGCTTTTCTGACATAGCCAAATTTCTTGATCATTTTGCTCTACCTCTTGAATAACTAATCTTCTATCTAGTGCTTCTTTTTTCCTCTTGTTTTTGTAGCCGAAAGATCAGGGGAGGGGCTGCGATTGTTAGCGTATTACTAAATTTTCTCTAATCTATGCCTCTTTTCGACAGTTGAAAGATCTTTTTTTTCATATCCTTCTGTTCCTATTTTTGTCAAAGAATGGTCCCCCCTCCAATAATTCTATCTTTCCACTGCGGTTAAATTAGATATCTATCAATCACTCATGTGTGATTCATATTAATGTTGCTAGCACAAAGAAAGAAAGCGCATAAAGACTTTTAACAATAGGAGGGGGCGATAGGAGGGGGCGAGAGGAGGGGGCGAGAGGAGGGGGCGATAGGAGGGTGACTGTAGTTGTCTAAGGATGCTTTTAAGACACTTTTTATATTCCTTGTTTTTTCTCTAATGATTATAGTTCTTTATATTTGAGCCCCCGGCACCAAACCTATGGCAACGTCACTAACTTATGGATGAACTTTTAATTTTGTTCTTGAAGGCTTTGACATCCATATCTTGATCAGATGTATCCAGGAAATTCTTATCAGTTTATGTCAATGATAAGGTTGTCAGACTTCTTTAAACGGACGGCTTTTCTTTTATTTATTGCTTTAAATTTTGTCAGATCTAGATATTTAGTATTCTTAATGGAAGTAATTTTATAGGATTTATCTTTGGAAAATTATTCTCTTGTTTTGAAAAGTTGGATTATTATCTGATTTCAATGATGATTATCAGTGAATTACCCAAAAGAGGTCAATATTGGGTATCCAGAGCTATAACGAGATTGGTGTAACATATTTTTCTGTTATTCTGTTCTTTTTCTTTTACTTGTCAGTACTTTTCTAACCTTTCTAACAACTAAATAGAAGAGGATGATACTTCACCCCCATCTACCAAATGGCTAGTATTGCTCACGTCACAAATATATCAGCTGCATATGTTACCACGGAAAAGCGTGTGTTCACCAAGTTTTACTGTCTTAAAACGGTTATGTCTGGTTGCATTCGAGGCTGGGTCATTTTTTCAAGGTGGAAGAAAAACCGTAGAATTTTCGGAATCTTGTGAATGTGTAAGGCAGCACAGATGATACTTTTCACAAATGGAACAGAAACAACCTCGAATATACCTCTGTTGAATATGAAGCACATGATATTGTTTTGTGTCTCAGCTGTTTCACCTCCAGCCTGACAATGTAATTCTGCTAAACTTGTAGATGCCATGCCGACTTACGCTGCTTAAATCTTTTCTAATCTTGTCACGCAATCTTCCCGGCTTTGCCTCTCCCGTCCCCTCAGTTCATTTCACAAGAAGACATTTGATTTTGACGGAGATTCCTATCCGATTGGCTGTCGCGGCATGGCTAGCCTCCTTTTGATGATATCCAGTGCATGAGATTATTTCTTATTCAATTGGATTTAGCTTTGGTTTGCAATGGCATCAGGCCTCGCACATGTATGGTTTTCCTCGCTATTGTTCGCTGTCATTTATCTCATTGAGGATAAGCCCAATTTAGCTTTCCAAGTGTAGGCCAGTTCAACTTATTATTGGAATTAAATCCGCTTTGCTGTCTGCCCGTGTAGATCATTTGAACAGGCTTTTTCGGATCAATGAAAATGTACATGCGATAAAGAGCCTGGAGATCACGCCCAGTTATTTTGGTCACCAATTCAAATTGATACATAATATAATAACATATCTCAAACAAGATGAAACGAAACCGAAATAGACTTGGCTCGCGTTCTTTTCAGGATTCAAGCTACATTCTGTGTATGATCACCTTTGATTAACTATAAAAATGCATACGTGTTAAAATATCTAGGATTCAAAGATGGTTTGCCTTGTAAGGCCAGGACTTTACTCGAAGTGCGTTATGGTAAATTGTATGAGACAATTGGAAAAGCTGCATTGAGAACCTCACAAATCCCGTCCAGGCCCGTAAACAGGATCTATGAAAGTCAAGACCTTACTTGACCACCCTATTAAATGTTCATCATCATCAACATTTCGTCGTAGAGAAAATTGGCCTTCTGGCTTTTTTGAAGAAAGGAATTGCAGTGCTTCTGGACATGGCACCTATAAGGTTGTCCATGGCCTCTCTGTACCACTAATCTAACGTGAAGGCTATTACTGATAAGAACACGAGTAAAAAAGATACTAACTTTTTCCTTGAGAGTATAAAGAATATTTAACGAAAAGTACAAAGAATTATAATGTTCAAATTTTTTCTACAAGGACTCAGAACCCTATAGCCATTAACATTAACAGTCAATTTTGGAAAATCCGAGCACCCTAAGAACTCTTTTGGTGGAAGGGGTCTTACGTGACCTCGTTTTGCCATTGGCCTTATTCTTTGGAGTATCATGCAAAAAATATGGAGATGTTTAAGATCCATTGTCAGGAATGTTCTTGACGTTTCTTCATAATTAAATAGTATTAGAACAAATGATCATGTTTTATGGTCAAGATAAGAATCACTATCGATAAATGTATTTAGACTAGGAAACTGTTTGTGTGGAACACAGGATTGCTGATGTGGGTTTCGTTGAATTACACTTCTTGCATGCGTTGGCTGTAATCAGATGCAGAAAATGAGATTGGTCATCACTTAACCTTTCTCTTAAGACGTAGCTATCTGTTTCTGGCTGTTATTGATGTTTAATTAACATTGTGGCCATGGACGCTAATTCGAAAGGTTACTTGACTCGTGATAAGAAAAATCTGTATCGTGGCTGTAACATCTTCAATGCCTGATTGTATCTTTTAAATTTCATTTAAACCCTAGAATTTTTCTCCCAACTATTCTTACCAATATTCTCCAAATAAAGTTTCCCCCAAAGCTACCAAGTCCAGGAATCGAATAAAGTAGCCAATGGTACATTCAATGTTTTTGGTTAAACCTCAAGCCCGCCATTAATGGGAGGTTTAGGAAAGTGAGTGGAATACTAATACACAAAGTTAGTCGGTTCTATTTTACAATATAGTATCCTAATTGCTCTATTCTAGCCCCCAAATGTTTAAAATCTTCGGTGTTTCGTAATTTTTTATATTTATATATAATCAAATAATTAGTTTAGCATAAGTTACTCTGCTCTACAAGTAAGTACTACATAACTCTAACATAATTCTAAAGAAAAGGATAATATCCTATTGTTTAAAAAATGAAAAGTCGCTGTGGCTGGTGGGGCGATTGCCCCCAATTATTATGTTAAAAAAGGCTCTGAACTCTAAACTGTCACAGTCGTTCAACGCTCTTAGTCTCAGGATCTCGTAATAGTTTTTTGTCCTCGCAAATTTTCAGGAATTCGACACTCTTTAGTACCCTGCTCATGTATCTGCTACGCTAGTGGTTGACGTGCCGTTTATGTATTACGTCATCTCAAACCACATAGCGTCTGAGTTTCCTAGATGGAAGTCACGGCGAGTAGCACTACGGAAAAGCATTTATAAGAGTAAATTAAATCAATAGGAAAGGCGATTTAGTATAATCGCAAGCCTGCTGTAAAGCATATGCTTTTAAGACTTTTTAGGAAAGAGAGGAAACACATGCTCATAATAGATGCATGATTATGATTTAGCTATAGACTAGATAAGAGTGATAGGATATTTTAAAACAGATTATCAGCTAATGCAAAAATCTCCATTTCCGCTAAAACGAATGGCCTTCAGTGAGAGCTAATCAAAGCTTCGCATACTGTTCAAGAACATTGAAAGACTTACGTACGTTATGTGGGTTTGTGTTGTGTGCATTGAGGCTTCTTCCTAAGCCTCAGTTATCGAGAGTCGAGACTCCCTTGTTTTGATCTAATTTTAATTTTTGTTATCGTCAATATTCTGTTGATTTTGACTCGTCGCACAACAGCCGAAAGCCATTAATGAATGAGCTGTATAAGTTGTTTCAAAAATTGCAGTAGAGGTAATGATTGTAGGTATAGGTATTACAGTACTAATGCGGTGGTTATATAGTTGCATTGCATAGGCCTTCATGTGCAACAAAATCTTTTTCAGGATACAGTGTGTGTATTTGGTAATGATTATAATTGTATCCTTGAGAACTTCAGCATGGATAAGATCATAGATGTACCGTCTAAAGGAGCAGAAAATCAGTAAAAGTTTTCTTATTTATGCTCATAACAATTTACAAGAGACAGAATGTAGAAAACCACACTATTGAGATGCATCACATCCTTGTAGCCATTGACAGTTAATTACAATTCTCTTGAAGTTTTTTAAAGGCTTTGAAAAGAATAAAAAAGAATAGAAAAAATTGGTATTGGGATGTTTATGTGGAATGCTATTGAAGCTAGGTCGAAAACGCCTACATAAATTTCAATTTCAACACAAAGCATACCTTAGCCTAATTACAGATTTTTTCTCGTGGTCACGTTAGCAACTTTCGCTGGCAATTCCCCTTTAAAAACCTTTAAAGTTCCCAAAGGCAAGACCCGTTGAAATCTAGCAAGCAATGTACGTTAATTTACTTGTTATTCTGCGGATAAATCTAATCTTCAGCTAATAGATGTGCACATGGGAGAGGCTTTTGCTCTGCCGCTCTGAAATCCACATTACATCGCAAGAATTACTGCACACTTACAAAGCCTGGGTCATACATTATTCGGGGTTTAGCTCCTGAAGATTCGATAGCAGAAGTCATTAGCTAGCTTTTGAATATCAAATTCCTTAGCAGTTTCATTTGAGATGATGTCAAATGTAAATTATTGATGCATTGATTGCTCCAGTGGAGTAATTGTATTGTCAGTCTCTACTTTTGTAACAGTTGTAAGCTTCATTTTTCACAATTTTATAGCACAGCCTCAATTTGTTCTCGACATACTGAGAATTCTTTGTTCATGAAATAAATCTTAGGTCACACGCTGACTTTAGAATAACTATTCGAGTATAGTAAAATGTCCATTCAGTGTACTAGAGTTACTCTCTCATATAGAGAGACATCTTTTGTCCACAGCCTACTGTTTGAAAAAATTCAGGCACAAATGTGTTTGTCTGTTGTTTTGAGTTGCCCTTTATTGGTAACTATCCGTTAACAGAGGTAGAATTGTGTCTATTTTTGACAAAAACTACAACATTATTCAATATTCTTTCAATGTTTTCCTTTATTAACACTCACGGGCATATCTTATATTTGCAACTTGTACATGGTTGCAGATGCCACAAATAGGTATATTAAACTGTCTTTATTTCTGTGCATTTCATTCTCATTTTACTTTGTAAGAAGCCTCCTAAATTTTATGTTGCTGCTTCATGCGAACAATTAACTCTTCTAATATTCTTTCCACAGACATGAAAGTGAAACTGGCTTGCTTTGGTGGAGGTTTTAAGCTAGAGTGCCCGTTAACAAATGTCCTGGTTATACACCTAACTTCATTGAGCATCCCTGCCGAGAACTCGAGCTTGTGTAAGAATGAAGGGGCATACGCTGTTCCATGTGACATTTTGATGTACTCAAACTTGCTGAAATCAAAATGCAGTGGTAGACAAAAGTGCCGCCTCAATACAGACTCAGAAAGGCTGTCACCTTTGGCTTGCAACACGAGATTTGTGATAACTGTCGTTTACGAATGCAGTAAGTTTTAGTTTTACTTTTGGTGACCGTGTTACTCGTTACTCTTATGTCCCAGATGATGTGCTGAGTTTTAATTGCTGGTCCTAATTCTATTTTATTAACAGGCTTCAATTTAATCTATTAGGCTAAATGCTTTTTCCTATTCTTTATTTACCTTGCTTTCGGCTATGAGATAAAGCCGAAAATTTACTTTCAATTGTTAGTACCTCACTGCAGGCCAGAATCGTTTATCTCGATGTCAACTGATCCTAACTAAGATGTTTTAGAAAGATCGCCCTGGCAGTAGCTAACAGAATCAATTTGTATTAAAGCTGGATGTTTCTAAGATTAGCCTAGAAATTTTGGTCTCATATTCCATTTTCCATGCAAAAAACACCTTCTGTCTGCTTTCGCAGAGAAAAAGACTAACCTACTGTTTTCTTAGGGAAATTGTAAGGAAGTAAATTGAAGGGAGAATAAGCAAATTTAAAACCAGTACACCTAGAAAGGAACCTAGGATGCACAGGAATTCCATGGCCCCTTCATTTGTTCTCCCCGTTCTCTTAAAATAAGGCGCTCCTGATCTTCAATATAAAATTTGTCTGATGGTAGCAAAAACTCAATAGAGTTTTTTTAATAGAAATGGTTTGGATTTTTAGATTAGGCAAATTTTTTGCTTCTATTGCACTTTGTGTAAAATGGGATGTGCTCTGGGTACACCTTTTTATGTTTATTTCATTTTTTCGCTCTCAATCAACTCTAAATGAGATTTAACTATACTCAACAACTTATATATCACAACATCAATAACTACAGAAACCTTACTATTAGCAGAACATTGAATAAAAAAAGTAATTTACATGGGTTAACTGATAAAGGAGGAACTATTTAAGTAGGTAAACTACGTGTCAGAGATAAAACCCCTCCTTAGAAATAGAAAATAGAAAATCTGCAATAGAAAATAACTACTGCTAACAAGACAAGCCTCAATGGGGTGGATAATTATCAGAGGTAGTATGTTGGTTAACAGTGGGATGTTGGTTGTACATCATTATGCATAGGCTAAAACTTCAAGAACTTAATGATTCAAATTAAAGAAGAACCTATAGCCTTAAAGGCTCTCGCGCAACCGGCATGCTTAGCAGTAGTTGCCTTTTAAGCAAGGAGAAATTGACTGTGTTTTGTATTTTCCTGCAGCACTATATTAGGCCGGTTTGGGAATTATAATCGCAAAGCTTGCCTTTAAGCGCAGCATTAATTCCCTTTAATTAAGCATATTGTCCAACTTGAGTTTAATTCAGAAAAATGTGAAATATTGCTGCTGTTTGGCAATTTTTCGTAGATTATTCTGCCTGGTTAAGTCCAAGGTATCGCAAAAAGGGCTTCTTTTGTTCTGTGGCATGTGCATTACAAAGTTAGAATTATGAGAATGTATCAGAAATACTTCCTTAAACCCCCTTAAAGTCATGCAACACACTGGTAGAACAATGACAATTTTTGTCAATTTGTAACTGGTTTTCAGATATTTCAATTTTGCAATGTGCTAATCATACATGAGATACTTGTTACTTTAGATGAAATTATTTTTTTCTGTAATCCTTTTTTCCTAGGGAAAATGAAAATTAACACTACATCTAGAGCAGTCATATCATCTTCCAAGAATATTGTAGAAAAAACATTTGAAGTTCATTCAGTAAGGCCGACAGACCTTAGGACGATCTTCAGCAATAGAAATGAAACAACGGTTGGAAATAAAATAGGATCAGTCACGTGCCTGCTCTACACTTTGTTTTCTGCAACTGTTGCACTCCAATACATGCAAGGTAACTGCATTCTTAATACCTAGTTTGTTCACTTTTAATACCTCTGATATCAGTTTGATACGATTGAATCTGGCTTTGCAAGATCTCTTTTGATCAGAGGCTTGGGAACAAAGTTTGTCACATTAACTTTTAAATAACAGTCTCAAAGTTGCTGACAAGAAGCGTACTAATTTATTTAAAAACCCAAACTCTTTATCTCTTATTTTGAGACATTTTCTAGAGCTGCTTTTATAATTTCCCTCTTTTCTATGACAAAACCAAATCGACAGAGTTTTCTAAATTAATCCAAAGACCGTTTGAAAAATTCTGCTTTGTGAAAATTATAGCCAGGTTTGTGTGGAGACAAACCTGAAACACAAAGAATTTGTTATTGCTTAATCGATGGAAAGGAAATCGTCCGAAAAATCAGTACATTTGAGAATTATCTACTTCAATTAACTGAACTGGTCGCTAGAATATTGAAGATCGGCAAACGTTTGCTGTGTTTTCGTGCATATGTGTAGAAAATCCACCATATGATTAGATTTATCAGATGGTAGAAATTATTCAGATGTGCTGTTATGTGCCTTTCACAAGTCACCGGTCATAGAGCTAAAAGAAATGACGTTCTAGAGGGGAATTCCTTGCCAGTTTGCATTGCTTAGAATTCTGCTTTGCTTAGCATTTTGTACTGCTTTGCAAAACCAGTTTTGTTGCGAAAGAAGAAGCTAGGGTGCCACTTTTGCAAAAAAACTGTGAAATGATAAAATCTGCATAAATCGTCTACATCCTGTAAAATGCAATGAAATTTTTCAATTTTCTTACTCGACATGGAAAGATTGTTAACAGAATTTTGTAAGCAGGGTGATTTTGCTCCACAATTTTTGCTACAATCTTCGTTCCTTCCTTAACTGATTCGTTTGGCTTGCACAAGACACAAGATATATAAACAATTAACAAAAGATATAATATCAGTTTAAAGAATTCAATTAATATTCGCTAAAAAACCAAAAGAACGTTTCATTAATATTTAGCAAGAGCAAAAAATTATCGAAACACTGGCAAAAGACTATATATTTATCGTTTTGTACAATAGTATTTGATAAAATTTTGCCGAAGAAATCCTGTCGATATGATGGAATAAACATCGCAATTGCGTCAAATGCTTTGCACAGCGCGATAGGTCTTTTAATTTATCATGTTGAAGAACAGTTAACATAACACCTGCATCGTAAGTTTTTAAACAAACTCCTTCTGTTTGCACAATAGCGGTTTTTCCATGTTATGTTGATAGCTTCTAAATTTTTTACAACCCCCACAATTGGTTGAAAATTAAAAACAAACCGAGGATGAGAACTTTCTAAAATATAAGAATAAAAAACATTGATAACAAAAATATTTATTTTATTTAAGGTTATATATTTTGCTAAAGTTATTAAAGGAACATTACCTGCACAATGCCCGGCCAATTTTTTTCTGCACCAAAATATTGTCTCGTATCAATTTTTAAAACTTACTAAATTATTAAGAGCAATCGAGTCCATATTTTTGAAAAAATTAAGGACAGCAAGCCTGAATCTAAAAATGAGTACAGATAAGGTTGAACTGCCTTGAGAGCGACCTTGAAATGATTTTTTCTAAGCGACTTTGGTAACTGCTACTAAGTTAGAGTGTGGTATTTTCGTATTATTTTGGTACCACGTCAGCACTGAATACTTTGGGGGTACTAGCGTGGAAAAACTCACGGTCTGTTATGGAAAAAGCAGCTATCCCCTATTTGAATTATATACTAACTGCCAAACCAAAGGAGAATTTTCATTAGATTGAAAGAAAATTTTTAAAGCAGTCTAGAAACAGGCTTAAAAGCATTCATTTGGAAGCAGTGAAGATTTTCTTTCTCTCAATCTTCTTGTTTTAACTCGCGTGTCTACTCGATGAAGTGCTGGCGCGAAACCTGCGTTTTGTCGCAAACCTTGATGCAATTTTAAACGAAGCTTCGGTGTGCGCATGCCCAGTATGTCGCTTCACGCGTCTTATGGTGAATATTTGTATGTTTAATGGTTTCTTTACAGGGCGATGAAATCCTGCTTGTTATTAGCTGCATAAATAACAGCCCATCTTTGTGTCTGTCTATCCGACCATATAAGGCTACGATGTTGAAGTATTGAAATCCAGCTTACTGGGTACAGTACATGAAAAATGTTTTTCATCGAAATTCAGGCTGTCTAATTCTTAAACGTAGCTGTTTGAGACAAACGTCTGATTACATACTGTTTAGCATCTATGTATAATGTAACGTCGAACAGTCCTCTTCCCTCTCCTCATTTAGAGGCAAAGTTAAAAGTAGATTAGAAAGGAAATAGAAAGGAAAAGATAAAGGTAAAGTGTACGTCTTTTAATAGCAGAGATGTCCAAATGAAAACTAGGATTCCAGACTTAGATTCTCCTAATGTTGCTTTCTATCTATCTAAAGACCTCGATTAAAATTGTACATACCAGGAGTAATTAGTTTGTTCCCAAGTTTGTAGAATCATCTTGTTAATACAAATCTAATCTTTCTGTTTCTGCATATAGGAAAACCAAAACATGTGATTCTTTGCGTTGTACTCAGTATATCGGCTGGCATCGTCTTACTGATCATCACATTCCTTGTTATGGCTTGTGTCGAGAGAATTATAGAGGAAAAGCACAATAGAAAGAAAGAAAGCACGGCAATGGAAATATCATTACCGCTGCTAGTGACACCAGGTAGCCAGCCACAAAATTCGACGCAAGCCGAATCAGTGCCCGCGAGTGATTCAGGTAGTGGTGCCAGAGAGGCCACATTACCGCGCGCACAGTCAATTCGTCGGTCGCATTCTGTAGACGAAGGAACGCAGACTGAGCCAGAGTTGGACGAGATTTGTAGCATCGACAACGGTTTGTCGGATAATGAAGCCAAAGAACTCGGATATCTTGTAGATATTATGCGCTATTATAACAGTAATCTCGAGAATATGTCCACACCAAATGAACCAATTAGTTTGCGGAGGACAACTCCTACAGAGACCCCGAACACTTCGAAGCGACGGACAGAACTTTCATATACAGGCCCGCGAATCGTTGACACAAGTCGTAGACGACAACCCAGATTGTCGTCTGCGACATACAGCTCATCAAATAATAGCGAGAACGGTGACGCATCCACCTATTTACCGACTCCTTCTATAAGACACAATCATATAAATGCAGCATCACCAAGTATATCCACACTTCCACGTCGTAAGGCGCACCTATTGCCAAAATACGACACACTTGGCCATACTACGAACTCTATACACAGCTATGACTCGCCTAAAATGCAAAACGGACCTCGCAGAATAGTCGGCCGGACCCGTTTTATGGACGAAGCTCCGCATACGATATCGAAAGAGGTATACGGAATTTAAGGTTGAATATTGCATATAATTTTTATATCACAAATATCGTATTCATATAGTAAATTATGCCTATATTAAAGTACGTCAATGCCTTCTTTTTGTTATCGTTTTAGTCTGCGACAGCGACGAAAATAGCCACATGTGTAACACTCGATACAAGAAATAGATACTTAATTTGTATTTGTCACTACCAAGCTTTTGAATATTGTTTTTAGGACAATGAGAAGCTGTCCCTATCGAGCAGTGTCCTGGTCCTTCCTCTCGCTCTAACCACATTTCACGGTTCCAGTACAGTCTAAAACATGCAATTTGGACTTTGCTAGAAAATTTCAGTGAAGGTTTAATGCCAATCATTTTTAAAAAAATAGTTCTTAATTAATCCTTGGAGTGAGCACATATTGTGATTTCGTTATTTCAGTAAAGGAAGTGCGCTCAAAAGAATTATTTCTAAAATGAAACCCTAAGTAACAGGAATGTAAGTTATAGTACCAATAACATCATTGTGCTTTGGTAAGAGTATATCAGGTCTGCATTAAGCGCCTCCCGGCCATTTGCGCAGAATTATGGCAGGGCCCTGTTAGGACACCGACGCCTGGAAAATTATTCGAATCGTGCCCTTCATATTAGATTCATGCAATTTTTTCTCAAAATATTTTGAAACGTAATACTTCAGTCATAAAACTTTATTTTCACGCTTGCGACAGATGATACTGGACACGCGAAAATGTCCCAGGGTTCCTTGTGTATCAGGACCCAATGTTCAGAGTCAGGAAAACATTTTGGTCGCACGGCCACTGACCGGAGGAAGGTCCACGAAAAACAATAGAAGCTCATATGACACACCCAAGCCACGTCCACTTTATATTGTTTTGTGAGGAAGGTTTACCTTCTGGGATGTTTTTGTTTGGAGGAAGGTTAACAACTTTTCTGGACTCTGCCAATATTCAAGCATATGTTACATTCAAAGGCCAAATTATTCTGGAAAACCCTCTCGTCAAATTATATATTATTTTAGATCCATCCCTACCTATGCGTCCATTGCATGACACTTGCTGTTTTTCTGCATTTTTCGTCAAATGCCATAAAATTTTGACATTTCGAGCCACAGATTCGCTGAAAATCTTATGTGATAAGTAAAATGGCTTTCTCAGCTTTCGCGTATGCTCGCTAGAGTTTTCAGATTGTATTTGCTTTGTGAAGTAAAGGGAAATTTTAAATGCTTATGAAAATGTACTAATGTTTATGTATCAAGACGCGGACAAAACTTGCTCCCTCTAACCTCACCTATGGGTAACTGCTGCGAAATGGAGACTTAGCTTCAATTAGCATTATTATTATTATTACCTAATGGCGTAGCCAGGGTTGAAGGATTGGAGGGACAAAGAGGAGTCCTAGAGCAAAGGGTCCGGGAAATTTTTTGACCACACCGTTAGAAATTAGGAAAACACCCCCTTTTTAAATGTTTTTGAAAAAAGCTATAGCTTTTTTACGTGGCAGTGGTTTGCTAATCAAACATAAAAACAGTCATATGTATGTAGCTTTTTGTGGTTGGTCCTTTCCATTCTACAACTGGTTATTTCCTTTACAATTTACCTCTCATGTTTATGTTCTGAAATCTGAATCATGTCGGGCGAGAAGGCTTTACGGGTAAAAACTGATTCTTCAAAATTTTTAGCAAATATCTGAAAATAATAAACAGTATTCAACCGCTTAAAACGTAGTCCATTATCCTAGGAGCAAAGTCTGCAAAATCCTTGACAAGCATCTCAGTATATAGTTTTTCAAGGTTTCAAGCAATTCAGCATTTTAGTGTCTATTTTATCGGGAATGTCTAAATAATGTGAAGGCCTTTTCTGTATACATACATAGATCCTTAGCCAATTGCTTGCCAAAAAGTTGACTAATAACCTACGCATTAAAGTTCAACGCATTAATGTAAAAAATGGTTCTAAAATTTTGTTTCGACGGCAGTTCTTCATATCAGCCTTTCTGAGGGGTAGAGATGTAAAAATAGATACCTCGGAACAGTAAGAAATAAAACATTTTGTAGCTAAAAATGATTTTAAGGATAAAAGTATCTATGGAACTTTCCAATAGTGTTTCCATGGAAAATGGAATATTTCTTTTAGAGGCTGCATGTGAATGAGACAAGTGGTTGGCATAAGAAATTAAAAGTCATATGTCAGAAGGTGTTCCTTTTCGCTTGCAGTTCTGCTGTAGATCCTTGTTGATGATGACTCATAAATGGAAATTTGGCCGTCAGCAAGATGGCTGTCGCGGTGACAATGTTTAGGTGGCTTGATCTTTTAGAAAAAGAATTTGATAAAGGATTTGTTGATTTAGATATTCTTTTTGGAGAAGTGGATCCAGATCAGTCAGAAATAACATATCAGGGGAGACAAAAGCTGACAGGACTTTCATCCGCTTTCGCGCAACTAGCCCACAAAGCACAAACAGTTTTTCAAGCTAATGCAAAACTTGAGGTATGATAAATAATTTAATTTATAATTCAGCTCAGTAACTTGCTTGCTCTTTTCCAATCTTTATTAATTGATAGGTTTCCTAGTTCATAAATTATCAACTGGTACAATCGTTTAATTAATGTCGGGAAATGAGAAACGTCCACCCACTCGAACAGAATTAAAAAGGGCTCATCATTCGTTTCAAAAATTCCGAAGAACTTTATCATATGATTTCGTATTGTGACTTGTTTACAGAAAGTCAACAAAGTCATTATTCTGGTCTTTCAAAGAACAACCACCGTAATTTGAATATTTAACGCAAACATGCAAAGTTGATAATCAAAATATGAATCAAAAATGAGAGGAAGTAAGCTGTTTTGTTTTAAGTAAAAACCCTACTGCCGTTTTACTTTAGGAGTATTTCAATTCACAAAATATGGAAAAATATTTTCCTTAAAATAGGTACTAACTTTCAAGAATTAAGAATTCTTTTGTAGCATATCTTTTATGAAATGTAGGCAACAAGCATGCTCAATGTTTTAATTTAAAAGAAAAATAAAATAATTCCTGTAAACAAACATGCAACCTTCCTTTACACTCAAAATCGCAGGAAAATAGCCTTTCTTACCTTATATCAAGTAACCTAAACTAATTATGATATAAAATGAAATTAAATATCATATCCATATCACAAAATTGTTTAGAATTATTGTAATGAGCAAATTTTTGTAATAATGATACAATCCATAGCACATTAATTGTCTGTTGGTTTAAATGATATCATCAATGATGTTTTTAAACAACACAAAAGAAGAATGTTTTAAAAATTGTTTTCACATCCTATAATTGTTATAGAAAACAACAAAAAGCTTTCTCTTTAAAACATATTAGTTGGTAAAGCCTAATCCTTTAGGGAAATAAAAGTTATAATAATGCTTCATGAATTTTGAGATTCTGTTTTTTTGAATGGACACCAGATATTTTGCAGTATCTTGTTTCCTGTTTAATCAGTTAGTCTTTCATCTGTTATTTGGCAAGTAGTTTTAAGTGTTTCTGTTAGGTATAGATGTTTTCGTTATGAGTATGAAACAAGCTAATGAAGTCCAGCATATAACAAGGCTTGCAATATCGCCTACCATAAATCCTTTGAATCAGCCCCCTGGGGGCTTATTTATTTTTTACATTTTTGGATGGGGGCTTATTTGAGGGAGGGGGCTTATACAAGGGGGGGGGCTTATAAAATTATTGTAGACATTAAGAACAGACTTTATTAAAAGACTTTTATTTTATTAAAAGACATTTATTTTAGTAGAGATTTCTTTATGAGCATTTAATTGATTACTACCAAAAGTATGAATTTCTTATGGTAATTCAATAAAACACCATAAGCAACCTCTGATGGCAAAAATCATCAAATGGAGGGGTCCAATTTGAGAATTTACAGTAGCAGTGGGGGCTTATTAGAGGGGAAGGGGCTTATTGACAATTTGTAGTTCTAGGGTTGGGGCTTATTTGGGGGGGGGGGATTTTTCAAGAGGGGGGCCAATTCAAGGATTTGCGGTAGTTAAACAAGCATTTATACAAACAAGCAATTAACTTATCTCTTGAGTTGTTCATTTCTGAGAAATTAGGAGTCACTTAAAAGTGCAATGAAGAATTCTGGCTACCTTTTCCAAGGTGCCCAAAACTACCTTTTCAGCTGAACTGGATCCACTCCTATATATTTATAATATCTGAATCCAGGCACGTAAATAATAGGGGGGCGTGGGGGGCGTAACGCCCCCCCAAAGTTTGGAAAATCCAGTTACAGTTGGAAAACGTAACGGTTGACTTGGAATTTTTTTCTTAAGACCAAACTTGTGAATTTTATATTTTAAGAAGTTTTTTTATTTTAATTTATAAAAATTCTAAACATTAAAATTCACAGGCTGAAGCTGACCCATCCAATCGTTTTCTATTGTGAATCCCGTCTCCACTGGGTCCAAATTGCACACTTGCCCCGTTTTCTTTTTCTTTCTTTCTGACGGGAGTTGAATCAAATTACGAACAGGCAAGGTGAACTTACGGATAAGAAACCTGAAACTTACAGTTTTGAATAATAATACCCGCATTGATCAGAAAATATTAGAGTGGGAATTTTTTTAGAAACTACGAGTAGTTAATTCAATAAAAGATTAAGAATCTTTCAGTACTAAAAATTCTCAACGCTTCTTATAAAAAACGAGTTTATGCTAAACTCCCCCTGTTATTTGTTAATGTCCTTGAGTCCTTATCATAAATTCCTATGACAAAACTGCTGTGGAGCAAGAACACATTGCAAAAACTGCAGTAGAAGTATTTGATCAAAGAAGAGTGTTTCATCTTTCGAATCAGGCATATGCACAAGTTTGTTCTCAAATAATCATTTCAGTTGTAAAGAATGAAAAGGCATTTGGCCCTCTGAAAAGTTTAAAGGTAGTTTTCTTCGATCAAGAACGAAAATAAAAGGCCCAAATTCTTGGTGCTTCTATATCGTGAAAAAATGTATTTTAGATAAAATTGATCAATTGATCTGAAAGAATACTACTAATCATTAAGTATATCTAATACTGGTTTTGCTTAAATGTTGCTTTACTTCTTACAGTATGTTTAATGTTTGTTTCATGTTAATCAAAATTTAGAGATTTAGGCTTTTATGCTTTAGGCTAATTATTGAGTAAAGATTTGGTAATTATAAAGAAAATAGAACTATGGTGCTCGGGCTATTTACAAATATCAATTTGGTAGGTACAACAGATCTACTGGTCGAATGAAAAATTTATCACTTGAAGTTGGAATTTTCATACTTCCACGCCCCCCAAAATTAGCAACTTGTTTTCGTCCCTGTCTGAATCAATGACTTTTTGTACAGTAAATAGGCTAACTAATTTAGTGGAGAGTCATGTTCCTAATTCCTGAGACTATCAATTTAAGAAATGTTAAGCAATGAAGCAATTGATTTTTAAGCACAGGCTAAGGAAATAATTTATCAATTTAGATTTGAAAGTGGATTTTGATGTGCATTTCTATTTAAACTTGCATGCCAGTACAAAGTTTTGCTTCATGATAACACAAAGGTTCAGTCCTTGCTTTTGGCCCCCAAGTTTTCACTTTGTAGTTTGTTGATTGATCACTTTACATATGATATCAAATGATATGATATGAGATAATTATTGTTGAAAAATTACATTGATATCTTATTGATCTAAGCATGTATATGTTCATCTTTCATAGCTTTCATAGGTTTCATTGACTAATCTTTAAAAAAAATTATTTTGGTTTCATAAGAGAGAATTTTTACAACACTCAATATTATGAAGTAACTTAGTGTTATCTCTTCCATGGCATTGTTCTAACTGAGTAAGTAGCTAAAACATATTAAAATAATAAAAATAAAGTTCTTAAAACGTAATGAAGCAGAAAGCCTAAATTGACACCTTCTTCTAGTGGTGACACCAGCTACTGCAGGGTTGGAGAGTTATGGGCATGACCAGTGAGACCAATCCCATATTGCCTTATTTAATGCTTTATACCAGGTGTATTTCCTTAGGCAACTCTTAAAAATATGCAACCTTACCCTACCTAATGTACTTTTATCAATTTTTAGAAAAAAAAATGTGACCCTGTTTTGACAAAAGTTGAAATAGGGGCTATTAACCCCCCTCCCCTAACCAGCCCTTGAGCTGCTGCTACCCTGTATCTACCTTACCTGTTAAAAATTGTTTATAAGCTCACAAGGATATACTGCAATTTTTTAAAATAAATTGCCTGACATTCACTCATCTCTAATTTTAGAATGACCTATATGGCCTCCTTTATTATACTTGAGGAGATTCTCAATGTATTCACAATAAATGTTCTAAATCTACCTTTCTCTTTGCTTGCAGGCTGAGCTTGTTGCCCTCAGGAGTGACAAAGTAGAAGCCAATGCTAAAGTGCAAGTACTTGAAAAAGAATTAAAAAATACATTATTGCAGTTGCATGCAGTTCAGTTGCAGCTCCATTCTACAACTGGCACTAATACAGAATCAGATGCTATTAAGTTAAAACTGGTATGTACCATCGTGATTTTATTTTATGTACTAGTGATGGGAGGCCTTGGGACTATGTCCCCAGTTTTGTAAGCTATCCAGAGAAACTCTGGTGCAAGTCAGTTAATTAGGTTAAAATGTTTGGCAGCAAAGATTATTTAATGGTAACTTCATGCTCAGCATTTAGCTTTCTTTGTTCTCTGTGTATTGTACTGTGTACCATTAACTCTAGTTAGTATTTGAATTGTATACACCAATTCGACTTACGGCCTCATTTTGAAAAATTCTTCAATTTTGTACAAAATTTTTTACCTCAGTGTAGGATTGAGAGCAATTATTTTAATCTACTTGGAAATTTTCATTATGGTATTGCTCACGATATTAATTTTATGGCAACATAAAGATAAAAATTGTATAAGAGATTTGACAGAGATTGGCAACTAGGGGGGGGGAGGTAGAGTTTCCTCGTGAAACGATTTTTGCAGTCAAATCCATTACCAGTTTTCAAACTTCATTTCTCCGTAAAATCTAAAATATATGCTCAAACAATATGAAAAATTGTATTCGGCCTAAAATTATGGTGATAAAACCATATCTCAGCTTAAAAAAGTCGTATAATTAAGTTTGGAGAAATTTCTAAAACGAGTTTGTAAGTCGAATTGGTGTATTCTGTAATTACCACGCACATAATCATGTCAGCATGCTCATTTTGCTCTTACACCATTAGCTATTTACAATTTATTCTTTATTTTATGGTAAAAATATTCAATGCAAAATTCACAAACTTTGTAGTTCATTAATCTTTAACAAGCTTCTTAAAAAGCTTCTGTTTAATGTTTGAATTGTTATTTCTGGTGTTAGGATAGATTCTAAATTTTTTATTAGATATAAGGTCCCATTTACAAAGAAGTACTTGCTCAGTTTGATTGTGTTTTAATATAAGTTAAACAGCCATAAGTTTTGTATAGCTAATCCAAAGTTGATATTTGTTAAATGTTTGATTCAATGCCTCTACTGCAAAGGTAGGCGATGCTTCCATAATTCTTGTCACTCTCATTGAAGGGCTGTATCAAAAGCTATGCTTGTTTTTCAGAACAGTTTAGACACAAGCAAGTTCTCCTTTTGTAGGAATCAGAGCTATCACAATTTAGAAAAGATGCCATTAAGGAGGCGCAACTGATAGAAGAGACTGTGCAATTCAAAAAAGAAAATGATGATCTTAGAAAATATATTTTACAAATGCAAGGAGAGGTGTATGGTGCCAGGTTGGCAGCAAAATATCTAGACAAGGAGCTTGCGGGCAGGTGAGTACTGAAAAAGGAACATTATTTTGTTAGTTTTTACTTTGGTACTAAAGCTGTTTATTAATATTTATAAAAACAAAGCTTAACCTATTGTGATAAAGTACAATGAAACGGGGAATCCTAATATATGTAAATATCTTTCAAAGGTCGACCAGAAAGAGCAAGGTGCATGAAGAAATTTTTTGAAATTATACCTTGTAAAAGGGCTAAAAAGCATCTTTCAGACAAAAATTTAGCAAAATACTATTGTGCTAAAAGAACTGATTGTTTATTGAAAATATTATTGTTTATTGGGAAAAATAAGGAGGGGGATGTCATGCTAAAACTCTAGTGTTAGACGTTGGGGAAGGAAAGAAACGGCAACCTTTCGTTTCAGATTGCACGTAGTTGTGAATGACAGAGGAAGATGTTGTTTTGATTGGGAGAATTTTTTTTCCTGAACAGAAATGTGCAGTTTCTTGTCTCGAGAAGGCCATGTTTATTCATCCAAAATTTAAACATTGCAATGATACAGAAAGTGATTTACTGAATTAATGCAAATAAAAGAAAAATAATAGAAATATACGTGAAAAAGTTAGCAATTAGATGAAACAAAATCGGAAAAAAATTCCTATCTTGACCAAAGTGAGGGACTTCAGCCCCTTATTCCTCCCCAGTGACGCCGTGCTTGTCATGAAAATAATTTACAACTTAAATTAATTTATTTGGACTGAGTCTTGCCCTCATAAACATATACATCAATCATTGCATCCATTGGCTATGACTTTCGGTAAGGAATGCTTTCGCTTTGCTAATAACGGAGCTCTTCCTGACATACCTTTTCCGTTCTCTAAAATGCAATGTCAGGAAGGGAGGTTTATAACAAATATAATATTTCCATTTCAAAATTCGTGAACGGCCCTTTACGAACTTCAGA